GAAGGAGAATAGGTTGGAATTTGCGAGGGCGGCGTTGACTGAGAGGTTAGATGAGTGGGGTTTAGATGAGAAGTAAGTCAATTCCCTTGCTCGCTTTCACCAGCCGCGTCGTTCTTCTTCTCGCATCAGACGAGAGCATGAAAAGAATTGAGTACTAACGATGAGCAGCTCTCCACTGCAACCACAACTACAACCTCAATCCCAAACCCCACGCAGATCATCATTCAACCCCACCGCACCAACATTCTCCCCCTCAACCTCCTTCCCTCCCAACCCGGCCACTTCAGTGCTAAACAATCAAAGCCAAAGCCAAAACACAACTCCCTACCCCGAATCCAATACCCACACCCCTGCCCCCTCATTCACATCCTACACCTCCCCATACCCACCCGAAAATACCCCGAATCCAGGATATGGAAGTGGGAGTCCAAGTCTTAGGACATCGCCACGACTCCAACAAGCTCAGATCCAGCAGGATCAGTTGTATAAGAGGTCGCCACCTCAACGGTATCTGAGTCCGGATGTTAGGAATTCTCCACCTTCTCGTACATCACCACCGTTACCCCAGATAAATCAAGTGACGGGATCTCCTCGCTCTCCACCTCTCACATTAGGTGGCACACCAATGGACCGACACTCCTCAGGCTCCGGATCAGGCAGTGGTGGACTCCGGATCATCGATCGTAAAGAGAACGGCAGAGGGGCAGCAGGACGAAGCAGAATGATTGAATTTGGCGATTATCCTGAGCCTGTTGATTATGTGCTTGCTAGGGAACGCGTGCTTAGGAGTTGGGGGGAGAGGGAGAGGGTTGTCAGGGAGAGGAGGGAGAAGTCTCAGTCGCAGTCGCAGTCGCAAGCGAAATCTGGTCGTGGCGGGGGAGTCGGGTTGGGGATTTCGGATCCGGATAGTATACCGAGATGAGGGAGAAGTGATGGAAGAGCAAAGAAGGTGGAGGTGGAAGGCGGGAGATGAGGGGGGGTTGTATATCTACTTGCTGTTTGCTGCTTTGACATTTGCTTGGCAGAGATTTTGGTTTCTGAGGATGTTGCTGATATTTGGACTTGGACTTGAACTTGAACTTGAGTTCAATGGCGTTTGGAGATAGGGAGGGTTTTCATTTGCATGGTTTGGCGTGGCATTTATTGGCGCTGGAGAAAGTGTGTGTGGATGAAGGGTGGGAGATAGGGCATATGGTAGCATTGCAGGTGTATTGAGATGGTAGATGGCATGGATGGATGGATGGATGGACTGGAGTACATGAGCTAGAATATGAGAGTATAAGATGGGGGGATGAGGTGCATGGATGGATGGCCAGATGGTGCATAGCATGGTATGGCAAAGCATAATACACGAATGTAAGTAAGAATAGAGAATACCGCAGATCAAGGATTCGACTTTCAATTTGTTCGAACGTCCTTCATCCAACCCTGGAAATTGAAAGAGAGGTAAAATGCCTTGCTGTTTGCTTGCTGGTACTGGATTCACGCTCAAGTGCCCCAAGGACAGGAAATTTAGGCAAATCGTGCTCGAGCCACACGCATGGGGTAGGCTAGAAGGCTAATTTGGGCGAAGGCATAGCGATCTCATAAGCTCCGGCAGGGAATTCACTCAGTTTTTCTCTTCCCTCACTGCGCCACTGCTCGCTCCCAGGAGCTTAAGGTTGGAAGATGCCTGGTGAATTTGGCATTCTTTCTTCTGACCTCTGTTGCCTTTTCTGCCTTTGCTGACCTGTTTTGCATAAACCCGAATAAACATCAATGAAGGCACCTGGATCGTCTACTTTTGGGAACATCGAAGTTAAAGTCGAATGGCTGCTATCACAATTTTTGAAAAACGTTGTTTAGCTGGGACTTCAGACTACTGTGTTTACTAAAGCTGTCATTGACGCAAAGTTCTATTAGTTTCGTCTCATGAAGTCACCTTTGACAGCTGGGCTCCCGAGATCAGGATGGATTCAAGTTAGTCCATTGAGTGACCAGGCCAGTATACGCAAAGAGGGCACAGACAGAACTTGGAAAGGCGGTGCTCACTGCAATATTGAACTTTGAATGAGCTTCAGCGGGAAATCTGGAGGTTAGAGTAGTAGATGCGTGCCAAATACATATGTGTCGACACAAAGTGTTAAGACTATGGGATGAGGTAGAAAGATAGTCAGGACGAATGGCAGATGGCTTCTTGCCGCGTATACATAACGACATTAGACAGGATGTGAAAAATGCACACCACTGGCATCTTGACAGGTACACTCGCTCTATGGATAACTTAGGTCATTACGAATCGGCAAAGCAGGTGAATGATGACAAACACGATACTGAGCTCTGATAACCCCAGTTGATGAGACATCTCCGATGTCTAAATAATGGCCAGTCACCCGTGCCGAGTGAATGTCAATGCCACTTGATTGACTGATGGTTCTGAGTACAGCCTGAGATATGCCGTGTAGATTTCTGTACAGAAATCTTCTTTCGTTTTCTATTTCTACAACTCCTTGACCTCAGGTTGTTAATTACTGCTGTCGCCTGATCTCAATCCTTGGCCACCCTTTGGAAATTCTTTGCTTGATTCAGTGAGTAGACCTGAATTCCTGCTAGTCACTTCAGGTGCGAGCACTTACCAGGTTCAATTGGCCCGGCCGATTTTTCAATTCCATTTGCTCGATGATACGTAGTGTTTTGAAGAACTGGACTTTTAACTAAAATAACTAGGTGTTATAGCCATGTCTGCAACTAAGAATGAACGCTGGGCCAGTGTCGCTGCCCTCCCTGCTGGAGCCTTCTACGCGAATGCCCTCTCTACTCCACAGGATGTACCCATGTCAGTGCAATGCTCATTGAAGATACCGACTCCTTGGACTGTAACGGAACATACAATGGATTTTGAGGTGACTAGGAGGAGGCTGGCTCAGAACATCCGGGACCAGAAATCCTACCGGAATCAGTACCCTCTCCGAGTAGAACGAGTCGTCAGCCAGATCTTCACCGAGTTCAATGATGACCAGATTACCGATTTCTGTTACAATTCCCTCACTGAGGTGTATAAGGAGTGGTTAGACGAAGAGGAGATTGACTGGGAGGCTAATCTTGTCCCTTCATGCAGCAGTGGTACGAGTGAGACTGATCTTCCAGGATCGTACACTGTTACCATTGGTGGAGAAACTGCGCAGAGGAGTATTGTACAAGCTCGATACGCAGGTGGAGCCTGGGGTTTTGGTGGTCTGCTATTTCGCCAGTTGCAGCACCAAAACCACGCCTTTCGTATGCGGGCTCTTGAGAAAAGCCGCAACAAGTTTTACGCATATGTTGAGGGAGTGCATGGACCAGGAATGAAGAGGATGAGGTTTGTAGCTTATGCTACTTTTCAAAGGGGGGACTTGACTTCAGAGGAAATTAAGGGATGGGCCTGCATACTGGAGACGCAGAACATGGTCCTCACACAGACTTTCGACGAATCTGAACGAGGCCAAGATGTACCACTATTCACAGCCATGTATCTTCCGGACATGGGAGTCTCCCCTTTACGCGGAACTAATCGCACTCCTTCCATTCGACAATCAAACGCAGGCAGCGTACCAGATTCGAATGAGGGTCGTGACAAAGCCCCAGATATCGTGAAGGGAATGATAGCAGCTTGGAAGAGACAAGGGGGTGGATCTTGCAGTCGTGTGGAAGCGAGGCTCGAGATTCTCCCTCCACTTGCGCAGCCTCGCAACACCCCAGTTGTCAAAATTGAAGCATTTTACCTGGGTTTACCTCGAGACATACTAGCAGCGAATAGCTATCAACACTTCGACACCATCGTTGTCACCATAGATCTGGTTGAAGAAGGATTTCATCCCCATCCCTGGATCAAAGTCCCGGAGCATTACCCCGAAGCAGACCAAGCAATGCGGCTGGTTATTTGTATATCTGGAATAAACAAGGTCCCACATTCACCAAGTCAAGGGACATCATTTGCCCACTGGGTAAAGCGTCAGAGAAATGAGGATAAGAGAGGTATAGAGGGAAATCCAGCAGTCAATGCCGCCATGTCTATCATTGACTGGCTGAGAGGTGAAGTGTTGGTCCCAATTCCCTGAAACAGAGTCCGAGTATCCGATGGCAACCGTCGGTTCGAAAATTATTGTGGGAAACCAGTCCGGCGCGATACCAGAGGCGCGAAGCGGAAACATGATAGTATTGGAAAATCGGAAACAGGCAGACGAGCATTGGAAATGTTCAATAGCATAAAGAATAACCACAACAAAAGACGTTGACCGCATAGCTGAGCGCACTCATTGGCCACTCCTATGGCAAGGCTCTGAAATGGCATTTGAATTTAGAGTGGAATTCTGACGGCTTCTTGTCGGCTGTCGGTGATCGCCTTTGCTTTGAGATCGAACATCACTAAGCAGGTTGGTAACTTTCAGACGTGGAAAAGTTCATTTTCCGACATTTCCGATCTTGCAGCGTATCCTTTGCTATTTTGTAGCACACGTCGTTGGAAGTCTTTGTCTTCACGATGACAAAATGATTGTCGTGCTGCCGTAGTACTGAGGCCGGAGCTACAGTGATTATAGCCTGGATTCGCCTGGCTGATCCGGCCTGCCAGTCATGCCCGAAACGCCCTCACTTTGAAAATCCATTGCTGCCCAACCCACAAGGATTTGAAGTTCCTATCCTTACGATAATTACTTTCATTTGCTTATCTATTGATATTATCATAACTGAGAGTTGAAAATCAACGTGCCTTTTCAAACTGTTGAAGTGATGCCCGTGACTTCCGTGGGGCATACCACAACACATGGCATGGAATCACCTCCCACTCTCTTCAAAAAGACATTGTAAACCAGTGCCAGAATGCACAAAGGTTGTAAGGTATTGTACAAGTGCTTTGAAGATGGGGCAACTGGCGCTAGTCAAAAGCAAAAAAAATTGGTGCTCCGCAAAAGACCGGGACAAAGAATCGACACAAAAAAACCGACCAAAAAAGGGCTCTGCAAAGCCAAAAAAGAGCAGTTTCGCGCCCGACGAGAGGCTCGAACTCTCAACCTTGGGCTATTCTTAGAAGAGAATCTTCTTAAAAGGCCCCTGAGATAGTCAGTATCAACAATCCAACGATTTTGAGTCAGTGGTACATACACGCGCTAACCAATTGTGCCAGCCGGGCTTGATCTGTAAGATGCTTAAGCTGCTTGTGATGTCGACCATTTGCTTATTTGATTACATACGTACAACAACAAAATCCGGCGTTGTGGGAGTCACTCAGCCCCAAGCTTCCCTTAAGCGACCCTATTGTGAAGCCGTCCGGTGCAAGCGAGTCTTGGAATGGATCCTATTGCGTAAGATAATCCCTGGAATGTGCTGCATGGTGCATGAAGAGTGGGGTGATGATGTATATCACGTTATGGGGTTGCACGTGTGGACGTTCCGGAACGGAGAACTTCAGGTCTTTGTTAGGGCAATAGCAGGAATGCACATGGTTCTTTGGCTGGCAATTGTACTGTCAGGCGTTTGTGCTACTACATCATTATGTCATGGATATGTTGGCTCCGGACTTCTCAAGTGCCGACTAAGCTTCAGCTCGCTAGCTTGAGGGGACACAGAACTTCAAAAGTATGGCTCTTATTATTTCTCTTTCGGGATGAAAATACGCAGATATCTTGGATCGCCTTTCACTTGTGAAGGTCTTTTCTTTTGAAAGAGGGCTCGTTCTTCTCAGGCAGTGCGACAATCTTGCAATTGCAGTTCGGATGCACTTGCTTGACTCAGGCGCAGGTTCACTTCCAGATATCTCTCGTTCTTGATCTACCAGCTATTGAAGAGCAATGCAATCTACCTTCTCTTGTTTATAAAATCACAAAACAATATTCCTTGGCTCTCCGTTCGCCCACGCCTCAATATTCTCACCAACCGTCCTCCTCAACTTCTCAATGCTACTCCTCGCCCACCACGCAATATGCGGACTCAAAATCAATCTCCCATCAAGCTCGTTCCCCTCTTTCCTCCACTCATGCGCCGTCCTAACAAGCACATTATCCATTCCCGCTGGCTCCTCAATAAACACATCCGTAGCAGCAGCATGAATCTTCTTCTGCTTCAATGCCTGAACAAGTGCGTTCTCATCCACGATTCCTCCCCGTGCAACATTAACAAGTAGAGCTTCTTCTCGCATGAGTTCAAATTCTGGAGTTGAGATCAAATTGAGTGATTCCGGCGAGAGTGGTAGTGTCAAGAAGATGGTGGTGCTTGTCCGGAGACACTCCTTGAACGAGACACGACCGTCTCTAACAGAGGAACTGGTCTTGCGTTCTGCAAATTGGACTTTCGAGCCTAGCGCTCGGCATATTGTTGCTACTCTGTTTCCTGATATTCAGTCAGCTAGTGCTATACAGGACTGTGAGACTCCTCAGGACCCCTCTCCAAGTCAAAGCCTGAAGGAAGACCAGCAACCACATCTCAAGTGTAGACTCACCAAGTTCACCACCCCCAATAATCCCCACAACCTCCTCCCTACAAGTCCCCGGACACTCCCCAAATTCATTCTTCAGACTCCCCGTCTTCCCCCACTCCCCACCACTCACCGTCAACCCATGCATCCTCACCACCTTTCTCCTCGCCGCAAAAAACAGCGCAACAGCATGTTCAGCCACACTCTCATTACTCGCAGCAGGTACATTGCACACCGTGACGCCGTGCTTCTTGCAAGCAGCGAGATCAATCATGTCGATGCCGATAGCGAGCACGGCGATGAGTTTGAGGTCCGGACATGCTTGGAGAGTCTCTTCGGTGATGGGGATCCGGGTTGTGATTGCGATGTTGGCGGGTTGGGGGGAGGTGAGGTGGGAGATGATGGTGGGTGTTGAGAAGGGGACGGAGGGGTAGCTGGTGTAGGTGTGCTTGAAGGAGGGGCTGAAGATTGGATCTGGGGTGTGAATTCCGTCCAGACGGACGATGTGGAGGGGCTTAGATTCATCCATTATGATACGTGATAGAAATGATAAGAATATAAATGACCTTTTGAAGGTGGGCGAGATGGGAATATTCTATCCCGATGTCTTCACAAAGGCGTAATCACGTGCGTTAGTTCTCCACTTGTCATTCTGTCCATTAAGAGTGGTGTAACTTTAGACAAGTCTAGTAACTACAAGCAAGAAACTTCCGGGATGCATCACCGTCTATAAGTACATAGTCTACAGGTATCTTTTCTCTTCCTTCTCCTCATAAGACTGGACTTGATCTCCAACGTGGAAATCGAACCAATCATTAAAGCCCATTCCACACTCACCACCCTTCTTCATTTCCTGAACATCTTTCTTGACGTTCTTCAGCGAGGCCAGTGTACCTAAAAATGTCAGCAGAGTCCCAGTATCAGGTGGAGAAACATACCATCAAACACCTTTTCGCCCTTCCTCATGACCCGAACTTTGGCATTCTTCGCAATCGTGCCGTTCCTTACTTTACATCCAGCAACTGCCTTATGCTGTCGTCCTTTGACATTAATCTCAAAGATATTAGCAATCTCGGCTTCACCCAACACACGTTGAGTGACCAAAGGCGGAAGGTGTTTGCTCAATTCCGCCTTCACATCATCCACCAAACGGTAGATGATGTTGTGATCAATGATGCTGACCTTAGCCTGCTCAGCAAGTCTCGCAATATTTGGCTCGATTGGCGTATTGAAATTGATCAAGTGCCCCTTGGCTCCAGCCGCATGCTCAACATCAAACTCGGAAAGTTGTCCAACACCAGATCGGAGGATATGCGGTTGGACTTCCTTGTTGCCTAGTGCTGAAATGCTGTCAATGACAGCTTCCACAGACCCACTGACATCACCCTTGATGATGAAGTAAATCTCCTTTGGTCCAGTTGCCTTAGCCTCTTTGCCAGTCTCCGAAGCTACCGCATCGACTTCTTTCGCAGCCTCAAGAGCAGCAGCCTCGGCTTTCTCGCGCTCTCGCTTCTCCTGCTCGGCTTTGCGATTCTGGTTGATAGCTTCCATGTCTTCCGCCATTTTATCCCGCTCCTCCTTCTCGAGTCTGTAGTCCACAACACTCTTGGCTCTGCTCTCATCAGAAGCCTGCAAGACTTCATCACCAGCAAGCGGTTGCTCTCTCCAACCATCGATTTCAACAGGCGTTCCTGGACCAGCTTCCTTGATCTCGACACCTGCCTCATTTCGAAGACAACGAATCCTTGCCCAAGTCTTGCCGGCAACAATGAAATCCCCCGGTCGCATCGTACCTCTTCGGACAAGCACTGTAGCTACTTTGCCCATGGATTTGATACTTGCTTCCAGAATCCAGCCTTCTGCCTGACCATCCGTCTCCGCTCGCATGTCAAGGATCTCGGACAAAGTCACAGCAGCTTCTTCCAGCTCACCCATTCCCTGACCAGTCTTTCCACTGACACAGACGACCTGAGTGTCACCGCCAAAATCTTCCACATCAACACCATGACGAGCAAGATCCTGCTTGACACGGTCAATGTTGGAATCTTCTTTGTCAATTTTGTTGATTGCGACAATCATTGGAACTTTCGCTGCCTTAGCATGGTTGATAGCTTCAATGGTTTGTGGTTTGACACTGTCGTCCGCTGCCACCACCAAAATAACAATATCTGTAACATTTGCACCACGCTGGCGCATGCTCAGGAAAGCAGCGTGACCAGGTGTATCCAGAAAAGTGATCACCTTTCCGGAAGGCATGGGTACCGAGAAAGCTCCGATATGCTGAGTGATTCCTCCGTGCTCCGTAGCAGCAACAGAAGACTTTCGAAGGTAATCCAACAAGGTTGTCTTTCCATGATCGACGTGACCCATGATAGTCACCACAGGAGGTCTTTGAGGTAGTGATGATGGATCTGCAGCCGGCTCTCTCGCTCTCAGATCTTCAGACTCCCCGCGGTCAATGATCGGCTCGTAGTTGTACTCTTGGGCAATCAAACCAGCATTCTCAGCATTCAAAATGTGATCATGGCCCGTCTGCTCGAATCCAAGTTCCTGCATCTTGTAGACGAACTCGTCAACTCTGACTTTGAGAGCCACAGCCAAATTTGACACGCTGATATACTCTGGTAAGAGAATTGGAGTTGGAGCAGCAGCTTTTGCTGCTCGTTTCTCTGCCTTCTCGCGTTTTCGCTGCGCTTTCTCTTCAGCTCGTGCTAGAGCAGCATCCAGATCCGCTTCTTCATCATCATAGTTGGCAAATTGCTCTCGTCGCTTGGCCTTATCTCTGCCCTTTCCCTTTGGTACATCGTAAATTGGCTCTTGGGCTTGTCGTCCACGCACTTTTCGCTTCTTCTCTTTTCCGTAAGATCGACTCTTCTCCTCCTCGGCGTCTTCTGTTTGCTGCACGGATTTCTCAGCAGGCCTGGAATTCATCTCGAAGCCCCGCACTGCATCTTGTTCCACAATTGGAGCCATAGGCCTGAAGTCGACTTGTGTGTTGGATTCTGGTCGGCGCCTTGTGTCTCTTTGCCACTGGACATCTTGCCGTTCGACCTCTTCGAGTACCGGAGAATCCTCAACGGAAGGTCTAGAGAGATCTAGACGCCGAATCCCAGCAGACTGTGAAGAGGACTGAGCGCCGTATGAAGGTCTCCCCGAAAAGTTCCGACCTTCTGATCTCGGAGAAAGTGGAGTATATCTCCCATGTCTAGCCTGCTCTTCCCTCTGTGCCCTTTCCTCCGCAAAGTTGTTCCGTCGCGGTCTTCGTCGGTCCTCCTCAGCAGCTCGAGCTTTGGCCGCTGAATCTCTTTGTGACCTCAATTGACCCCAATTGGACTGGTCATCCGCAGAGGGTAGATTCTTCCAATCCGAATCCCCCAGCAGATGCCTTATCCTTGGACCTGTCGACCCGTTCCTGACTCCTTTCAGATGTGCTCGATTTGCTTCATGAGTCTCCAGCGCTTTCCGTTTGGCAACTTCCCGTTGTGCTGCTTGTATCCTCTCAGACTCCGTCCGTGGAACAAGTCTTCCAGCACGAGAGCTTTCTGGTCCATTTCCTCTGCCCTGAGTGACTTTCCTTGCTTGCGCCTGTGCTTGCCTCGCAAGCATCATCTCTCGCGCTTTCTTCTCGTGCGGATCGAGATCATGAGTATGCGGAGAATCCGTTTGAGCAGTGCCCTGTACTGGTATCTTCTCGCCAGGACTCGATTGGGCTGATGACT